GATCTCAATATGAACTCAACCATTTCTCACCAGACTCTTCTGAAGATCGTCTGCCGAGCGATGGATGAAGCTCAGACTAAACCGGGATAAATGTCATTTCTCTGGTTTCTCTCCACCATGTGATCGCTAATGCTTCACAGAGATCTCTGACGTGTGTTTTCAATCCTTTCCCATCTAATCACTAATTGCGGCATGATATCCAAACACTCCCCGTGGTAATTCCACTGACCCAGATAGACCCGGCCGCCCTGACACTAACGAGGAGGAGATCCAGTTGATCCTTGATTAAATCTGCGGCCGCTGTCTGAGCTTTAACAGACAGAAGAAACCTTCACATTACATATAAACATGGCATGTAGATCTGCTCCTGACGGCGGAAGGAACGAGCGCAGATAGTAAAGTACATCTCAAATCTGCTTTACCATGTCTCCAGACATCGAGAGTCACAGGCTTAAAGGCTTAGTGTGCATCCTCATTGTGTCAGTATTAAGATGTTTTTGCATTGTGTGCTTCAGAAAGAGACTTGTGCATTAATCTTGATCTCCTCAGGAGAACCTTGCTTTATTTGTTCTTGCTTAAATGGATAGTTTAACCAAAACTCAGCATTTATTCACAATCATGTCTTTATTTTTTTCAGTGGAACATAAAACTTGTGGATTGTTGTGATGTTTTTATCAGCTGTTTGGACTCTCATTCTGACGGCACCCATTCACTGCAATGAGTTTTCATTTTTGGGTCAACTATTCCTTTAAATTAGAGTCTATTTCTCAAATAAGGCATCATACACTCTGAGAAAAAAGGTACAAAAGCTTTCACTGGGGCAGCAGTACCTTTTCAATTTGTTATGATTAAATTAAAATTATGATTTACACTTTAGGTGCTAATATGTACCTTTAAGGTACCAATATGGACTCTTAAGGTAAAAAAGGTGTGCTTTTTGAAAAGGTACCGCCCCAGTGACAGCTTTTGTACCTATTTTTCTGAGAGTGTATGATGCCTTATTTGAGAAATAGACTCTAACTTAATGGAAAAGTTGACCCAAAAATTAAAACTCGTTGCAGTGAATGTGTGCCGTCAGAATGAGAGTCCACACAGCTGATAAAAACATCACAATAATCCACAGCACTCTAGTCCATCAGTTAACATCTGGAGAAGACAAAAGCTGAAACAAATCCAGCATTAAAATGTTTTTAACTAAAATACGAGTCCATAATCAGTGCTGGATAGTAACCAGTTACATGTAATCTAGATGAAGTAATCAGGTTCCAAAAATCAAGTACTTTTAATTAGATTATATTACATTTTAAAATGACTACAGTTACTTTTTTATTGATTACAGGATTACATATTCACATGCAGTTCCTTCACGAACCCCAGTTTTCGGATGCTTTGACGTAATATAGTGTTTAATGCATATTCATGTTGTTAATAACAGCGAATGGAATGCATTTTCTTTCTCTTTATATTTTTTATATCAATATGGTACAAGATTATTCTATGGATTATGGACTCGATGTATTTTAGTTAAAAACGTCTTAATGCTGGATTAGTTTCAGCTTTTGTCTTCTCCAGATGTTAACTGATGGACTGGAGTGCTGTGGATTACTTGTGGATTATTGTGATGTTTTTATCAGCTGTTTGGACTCTCATTCTGACGGCACCCATTCACTGCAGAGCCATTACTGAGACACTGATGCAATGATACATTTCTCCAAATCTGATGAAGAAACAAACTCAGCTACATCTTGGATGGCCTGAGGGTAAGTACATATTCAGCAAATCTTCATTTTTTGCATAAACAATTTCTTTAAGTCATTATTTTGAAGCTTTTGTCAAAATTCTACCAGGTAACAGACACATTTACACCAAAATACTGTAGAGTTTGATTGTGCAAACTGCCTGAAGAGATGGGAAAGCGTTGTTATCCTCACTGTGCATGTTTGTATGGTTATAATTATTTGCATTTGTCATGCAACAGACTTAAACACACTTGGTCCGTTTTGTATTTCAGTGCACAGAGCTGAAAGAAATCAGTGAACAATTCAAATGTTTACCGTGCACCTCTGAGCTGAATTCACATACAGAACTCACTGAATTCTCGTGACTCCAGACTGAAGCCAGATTCGCCCGGTTGCCGGTATTGATTACCGTGGTATTTTTGCATGATCAGGGAGGAATCTTTGTGAAGTTTCACAATCGGTTTCCACACGGCTCTTTGTTTCCACAGCTGCAGCCCGTTGCTTTCGATCACATGTGAATGCTGTGCTGCTCTTCCCTGTGGCTCTACCCATGCTTCATACGGTACTGTGCTTATGGTTTGGTTATTAATGCTACAGTCTGGATAACCTGCCCAGAATACTATAATTTACATGCTTCTGAACAACCGAGGAAAAAGGTAAATTTCATGTTTTTAAGAGCCTATAAAAATTAGACTCTGGTAAATCTACTATAATATAATGAAATATTCTTATATATATCTATTAATATTTTTATATAACAATATATTTATTTTTATGTATGTGTATATTTTATTAAGTCACAATATTTAGCTTTTTTCCCCCCATTGAATGTCAATGGAGAAGGATGCATTCGGCCCCATATTTTAACTTAATAAAATACCAAATAGAAGTAATGGCCAATTTTGTGATCCTGTTCTAAACCCTTTTTTAACGCTTTAAACATTTTAATCATATTTCTGTTTATTTTTGATGTGTTTGGTCACTGAAAAAAAAAGTCAGTTTCATACTTTTAAGAGCCTATAAACATTAGACTATGCTATAACTACTACAATATAATGAAATATTCTTATATATTTTTTATTTATATTTTTATAATATAAAACTTTTTTTTTTTTTACATAGAATTGTATTTTTATTAAGTCAAAATATATAGCTTTTTTTCTTTTCTTTTTTGAATGCATGTCAATAGAGAAGAATGCTTTTGACCTGATAATGGCCAATTTGGCACACCAACAGGATAAATTTTCATTATTTTCACCCCCGCTTTTTTCTGTTATTAACTTTATTTTAATTTTGTTGTGTCACTCAAAGTGTGAAACAGCTGAAAAAAGTTATACTTTTGAGCCTATGGAAATTAGACTATACTGTAGCTACTATATAACATTTGAAATAATATTCTTATATATATATTTCTTTATATTTTATATAATAATATATTTATTTTTATATAGATTTGTAGTCAAAATATATAGCTATTTTCAGTGTCAGTATATAGAGAAGAATGCTTTTGACCTGATAATGGCCAATTTTGTGCCCCAACAGGATACATTTTCTTTTTTCTCCCTTGTTAACTTTTCAATCATATTTATGTTTATTTTTAAACACTCCTGCTACAATTTTTGTACCGTTCGTCAAATTCGGGCCATATGATATTTAAACGATGTTGCACAAAAATGGCCAAACTATTTTTGCTTTTGAAACCATTCATCAGTGATGCAACAAACAAATCTGGCCGTGAAGATGCTGTGATGCTTCTGCACATTAAGTCACTTTAGGACTAAAAAGCTACAACTTCAGAATCTGCTAAACCACAAGGAGGCGCTGCATTCAAACAGGAAGTGATACTGTTTGTGCCACAGATTCGTTTCCTGACCCACCTGAACAGCATCAGTGGTTCAAAACACATTTTTTGGATGAATCTTTCATAACAAGGGAATGGTTTAAAGGTGATCTGTGCTGTTTATGTGTTAAATATGTGTGTGAAGATGAATAAAACCTCCAGATTCCTGTTTGACAGATGCAGGATTGGCCTGGAAACCCACACGACTCGACTTGATGAGGCTCTAGTTGTTCTCTGTTGCTCTTCAATCCTCATCTTCATGTTTTTTATTGAATATACTGAAGAGTGTGTGTGATTAACAGGGAAGGTTTCGGCACAGGTGTGTGAAATAATGGACTCCATCAGAGCTCTTAAAGAGACGCTTCTGCAGGGTTTCATAAGGCCCGTGTGTGTCATCCACCAATGCAACCATATTAAATACTTCTTATGAAAGCACAACGATGCATTTAAAGCATGCCATGATGATGACCGATGGATCAGTACTGATTCTGATGACTGTGATATTTATGATCAGATTTTCTTTTTGTGTTTTTTAAACCTCCTGCTGGCTGACTTTTTTTTGGGTGGAGTAAAGAAAAGAAATGTTAAAGGACTTCAGCAAAGGGGGTTTGGTTTGCTTCTTATTTCAGTCAAACTGTGTGCATCATAAACTGCAGTTTTAGTTGATATGTATTTATCTGCAGTGAGACTTTGCACATTCACTGGGGGGGAAAAACCCTCCATTCCTCTCCACTTATGCAGAACAATCTGTTGCAGCACTACAGGTGTTTGGGGAAATGCTGCAGTGCTTGGCATGAAGCGAGATCAGCCAAGGCCTCCTTATTCTCTAACAACTAAAATCACGTTAGAAGACAGTTTTTATTGCATATTACCAGTTTGCATATGCATGAGGGGCTGAATCTTTACATTTAAGGGTCAAATGAATTCATTTTTTTCTCTCTTTTTTATTTTCTTTAAATGTATTTATTTGTATTTTTTTAAGGTTAAAAGTGATTAAAAACTCTTTTCTCAATAAGAATAAGAATAATTTTTTACTCCTTATTTTCTAATTTTTGTTACCTTATTTTATTTATATTTTAACATCCCGAAAGGTCAAACGTGATTAAAAATGTTTTTTCTCTATTCAATTTTTTTTCTTCTTTTTATTTTCTTTCTTCCCTTCATTTATTTTTTCCTTAATTCTTTTTATTTTTATTTTTAATGTAAACATCCCGAAAGGTCAAAGTTATTAAATACGTTTATTTAAAAAAAAATAAATAAATAAAAAAAATAAAAAAAACAAGTGACCCAAACTTGACTCTGAGCTGCTTTCAGCTGTCATTTGTGCTCTAGGACGCGAGCACAAATATGCAATAATTACTCAGACTCGTATATCTCGAACTAAACCACCTTCGCGCGCGCGATCGGGCTGTGAAGCGTTTAATATAAGTTCGTGGCAGTCAAAGTTAGGCTTTCTGTGTCTGTACGGAGCGCTCCTGCAGTAGGTGGCTGTACGCGGCGCGCGCTGAACGCTCCTTCACCGTCCTGTCAATAAAACACTCCACGAGCCGAGCGAGACTCATTACGCGCAGATCTGCGTGTTTATTTAATCCACATTCCCCCTCAGTTACTGATCGCGTGTCTTGATTCGGATTGTTGAAGCCGCGCGCTGGAGGGACACTTGGAGAGACTTTGTTGGCGATCGTGCTACCGGACTCCTGCGCGTCTGCTTCACCTTGTGGCACAATGTTGCTCTAAACCACAGTGTCTTTTTCACGCAGAGTGGATTTTTTGGGTCTCGATCGTGCCGTGGGTCCGTGTGTGTGTGTGTTTCTGAAGACCAGGCACGCTCCTCCTGATCGGGTGTTTTCTCATTGCGATCTGTTTCCATGTTTTTAGGTTTATGTGATATTTTTAAAAATGCATCATCACCATCATCATCCCCATCATCATCAGAGAATGGCCGCGTTAGGGACGGATAAAGAACTGAGCGATTTGCTGGATTTCAGCGCGGTAAGTCACTTCGCGTTTCTGCGCGCCGGAGGTCAATGATCACACTTTGTTTCGTTTTCTCACGTTTCATTGTGTTTCTGCGCGCAAATGATTCAGCAGAAGTCTTTTAAGATGACTTTTGTGCGCCGCGTAAATTGCATTTGAAATCTGAAAGAAAGTTGTAAAAGCTTGTGTGGATTTGATAGATGTGATGTTGCATTAGTAATTCTGTTGTCTTATAGATGCCAAACAGCGATTTGAAAATGTTCCCCACACCAATGGTAGTATATCCCACTTTATTCAGTCTTTTCTTGTGTTTTTTAAATTCCCTTTTCTTTAATAGATTCATATAAATGTTGTGTTGAACCTTTAAAAATGCTTCGAATGGAATTTCTGGTCATTATAATTTTGGGTCACTCCTAATGCAATTCTATCCGACTGGAATTCTGAAGAATTCTAGTTTGATCCCATTAGGGTTTCTTGCTAGGAATTCCATCAGAATGATTTTTGACAAGGAACGTGAGATTAGAGTAGATTCTAGTGGTTCATCTGGCTCAGTGCAAAAAAAAAAAAAAGCTAAATGTGCATCCTGTGAGAAATGCTTTTGGGAAGTTTTCACTCAGGAAATGTGCTTTTATGAAGCCACAGATCCAAAAATATTCCAGCTGTCTGTGTGCAGCGACTCTGTTCAGACAGACAGAGGGTAAAGTGGCAGTCAGGCTAGTTTATGAGCTCGGGACATTGATTATGTCAAATCTGGCTTCGTTTTGACATTGCAGTTGGATAATATTTGAGTTTAATGTAGGTTATATTATTAATCAAATTAACTTGCATGCATTTATGATGTAAAGCAATGCATTATGCTGTGATTAGCATGCTTTTAACCAGGACGTGTTTTATATTCTTTGATTTAAGGTGGGTTATGAAAGTTTTTAATGTGTTGTCATGATTATTTTGTAGATGTTTTCCCCTCCTGTCAGCAGCGGGAAGAACGGACCGACGTCTCTGGGAAGCGGACATTTCTCTGGCTCAAGTATGTCGAATGCAACCCAACCTTGTGTTTTTGCCGGGTCATTTTGTGTAACGGCCCACTGAGTAATTATAAGCTTGGATTAGATATGCAATGCATGTGTGTGTGAGTGTGGAGATGTTTGTGCAATTTTAAAACACGACCTGCAAACTTCAGGTGTGTGTGTGTGTGTGACATGCACAGTTCACAAGCTGTGAGAATTTTGCATTGTGATGCGAGTTTGATTGTTGTGGCAGATGTTTGCGTTCGGCGTGTTTTCCGCACAAACACACTCATGCATAATTTGTGCAATATGGACGCCGCACCTGCAGGCTTTCCTACGTGGAGATTTGTATTGTTAAAGTGCGCGTTTTATAAAACGTGACATTTTATTACATCGCGGGTTGTAATGTGGTTTGCTTTGGAGCAACACTTGGGTTGCATGTGAGAGCTGATTTTAATTCCTCCTCTGATGAATGTTTCCTGCGGCGACGGCAGCAAATAAATAAATAATTACAGCCACAAAAAAGAAATGACCTTGACCCTGGAGGTGCGTTTAGGAAGTAACCGGCGCCGTGCATGCTTTTTCCAGCATGCATTTGTTTTTCAATGCATTGCAGTCGTGATCCGAATGCACAGATGGAGGGCAGAGACAGCGTTCGGTAGTCGCGGCCTTCGTGTTTTCAATGCCTGCTATTGTTTTCTTCAGACTTGAGTGTTGTTTAGGGTTCGATCATTTGCATGCCGCCCCCCTTCTTTTGCCCCTCGGTTCCTGCGCCTTTGCCTGAATTGTGTCGCAGTTTTGCGCTGTTGGAAAGTCGGGCAGGAGGATGGAGGGGGGTCTGCAAACTACAGCTTGTCTGTTGCCATGCAACTTGGCTTGGAAATGCTGGGAAAAGTGTGAATCGTTGAGAAAAGAGAGGGGAAAGAAATAACACAAACGTGTGGGCACGCTGCTAAATTTGCGTATTATTCATCCGTTTTAAGCCTGTGTCGGGTTGCATCGTGCCTGTATCTCGTGCCAGTCTCGGAGATTTCGGCTAACAGTGAATAGGCCCGGATGGCACGGCGTACATTTGTTCTGGTAACAGCCGTAGCTTATTATGCCATGTTAAAAAGTGGGGTTATTTTAATAACGCGCTTGTGCACGGGCCGAAAAAAGTGCCGGGTGCAAAGCCTGCTGCTATTTGCATCGCTCTGTTTTGGTTATGCTTGTCAATCAAACGCTGGCGATTGCATTAAGCGCAAAGATGAAGAGAGAAGAAGATTTCTCCTCCCACAGTCCAGCACCTCTCAGAGCATCTTTGTCTTTCTCTTAGCGAGCAGAACGACGGCAGAAAAGGAGCCGAGGCGGAGAGATGCAGAGGAATATCAAACCCTTTAATTGTGCCTGAGATTAGGAATTAATGAGCATTTTAGCTTGTAATAGCAATATTATTGCCACAATTTGCTATTTAATGCTAATAATGAGCCTGCTTATAATAGTCCGATTTTCAGGCCTCTGACTATTTCTGCTCATCTTTTTGGTTGTGTGAGATAAAAATGTCTTTCTAGCAACCTTTAAAATCACTTTTAACTACTTGTTTCAGGTTAAAATGACAAAACTTGCAGTGCAGAAGATGTCCATATGACTCGTGCGCTATATTTCGAGTCTCCTTGAGTCGTACGACAGCTTTGCATCACATTTAAATCTTTTCTAAAATGTTTTTGACATTTGTTAATGAGTAGTGGGCCAGTTCTTCACACACAGCATCATATTTATACCAGTTTATATTTTATTTATCTATATAAAATTAATTACTATATATAACGCTGTATATTTGTAACATATATTCATATAATGAGACTTAAAAAAGTCAATTAATATTAATATTTAAATAAATAAATATATTTAATTAAAATTGAAATTAATATTAATATTTATTTATTTATTTTAAATTCACATTAATATGAATATTTAAATACTTAAATTAATTTTTTTATTATTTTTTACAATGAGCATTTTAGTGCTTCAGGATAAAAGTCACCACAGCGTTGTATCGTTTATGAATTATCATGTTTTCTTTGTTTCTTTGTTTCGAGGAAACTTAAAATGCCTCGTGCTGAATTTGAATTCTTCATCGTAGTTTGTGTCTGATAAACAGTAAATGCATTTTGACAGTGTGCCGGCAATCAGTATGAATGAACATGAAAATATGAAGCACTTTTGTCAATTAGGCCACTTGAATTCACCATTTCCTCCAGTCGCTGTAGCATCTATGCTAAGAATGCTTGTGCTTTATTATTAGCCGTCTAGAGACGTCACGCTGAGCTAGCAGAGAAAATATGCCAGCCTTACGTCAGCGCTGTGGTGAAAATCTCACTTCACTTTCATTGTCTCACTGATGAGTTTAGTTCACTACAGCAGAAACGCTGCTGTCTTCACTAGTTGTGCAGCATGTGAATGTCCCTAGATGACCTTACAGATGTCAATACAGAGACTGAACACGCAAAGTGAACCATCTCTACTTTATATAAATCAGTTCATCCTTGATCAAGAGTGTCTTCAGTTCCTGCTGCTTTTGTTCACCTGCTCTGCTTTTCTGGCCTCTGACTGTATTTTTTACCATCTGTCCCATATTCACCGTTTTGTTTTTCTTTTCTGAAAGTAAATTTAACCAAGGCTTAGGGCAAAAATGACACCAAAAATGCCCCAGATATTGAAAAAAAAAAAAGCCCCCATATAGTGAGTTTGATATTTCATAATATTCTAGATTATACACTACTAGTCAAAAGTTTAGAATTAACATTTGTAATGTTTTGGAAAGAAGAAAAAAAGCTCACCAAGGCTGTGTTTATTTGATCAAAAATACAGCAAATACATTAAAAAATGTGAAATAATATTACAATTTCAAATGACTGTTTTCTATGTGAATCTCTGTTAAACTGTAATTTATTCCTGTGATGCGCAGCTGAATTTTCAGCATCATTACTCCAGTCTTCAGTGTCACATGATCTTCAGAAATCAGTATAATATGCTGATTTGCTGCTCAGTTATTATTGGTGCTCAGTTAATAATAATGGTTCTTATTATTATCAATGTTAAAAATGGCTTAATATACTATAACAGCTTAATATTTTGTGGAAACATTTTTTTTTAATTCTTTGATGAGTAGAAGGCATTTATTTGAAATAGAAATCTTTTGTAACATTCGAAACGCTTTACTGTCTCTTTTGATCAATGTAATGCATATTTGCTGAATAAAAGTATTCATATTAGAATGATTTCTGAAGATCATGTGACACTGAAGACTGGCGTAATGATGCTGAAAATTCAGAGAAATAAATGACAGTTTAACAGATATTCACATAGAAAACATCTGTTTTAAATTGTAATAATATTTCACAATATTACAGTTTTAATCAAATAAATGCAGCCTTGGTGAGCAGAAGAGACCTCTTTCAAAAACATACAGAAAATATGAATTATTCCAAACATTTGACCAGCAGTGTCTATAAAATTTAGTTTGATAATAATTATATATAATATATATATTTCATCTGTAAAAAATGCCTTCATAAAGCTAAAGATACCCCTAAAAATGAAGTGAATGTTCACTAAAAGTGAATTTCTAGGCATCGTAATCACGACAGACCGGCCCCAAGAACGGGGCCTTCGGCGGCACAATAGCTTCTGTTGTTTTTCACTTGTTTGCGTCTCGTCGTGGTGTCCTGTGTGTCCTCCAAAGTTACGTCAGCAGAGTTAGTTTCCCACCGTGCCGCTGGCTGGATTCTCGCTCTGTTGACATTGTTGTGTCCTGTAGCCCACTTCCTTTGTGATTAAATGTCTGCGAGTGTGTGTGTGTTTGTGAATATGTTTCTTGCTTTTTATCTCTGCGCTGCTTTGATAAGGCCGGTCTGGGCTCTCACACGCTGTTTGTTTGACCTGGAAATGTGGCTCTTAAACCTATTTGTGCTTGAACTGTTTGGGATGGGTGCAGACGCAACATTGGCCGCATGTTGATTAGCGCTTATGTCACGTCAGATTAAAGTCAACATCAAATCAAAACCGGCTCTGTCTTAATCCGTGTTGCTGGTCTTAATGTGAATGATTCATCATGTAGTTATGAAGAACAAGCTCCGCCTCTGGAACGACTTTTCTTTCCGTCTGACGTCATCAATTCCTCTGTTGTTTTTCACCTTCTTCCATCCCAGTCTGGCACTTTTCATGATCCAGTCGATTCCCAAAGTGTAAAATCAAGTCCTGTACTATATCTACTTTTTTCTCATGACAGATATTTCATGTTGACTTTAAATGCCAATTCACTAAATTAAATTCACTGCAATAGTTTTTAAATAATGCATAATCTGTATTTGTTAATGTTTAATATCCTTAAACAGGTTAGATTTATTTACTGTTTTTTTTAATGATTAAAATATTATTATTTATTGCGTTTTAAAATTATTATTAATAAAAAAAAAAAAAATGTATATAAAAAATATAAATTTATCTTGTTTAAGGATGTTAAATTCCTTAAACAAGATAGGTTTACTATTTTTAATCAAATAAATGCAGCCTTGGTGAGCAGAAGAGACCTCTTTCAAAAACATACAGAAAATATGAATTATTCCAAACATTTGACCAGCAGTGTCTATAAAATTTAGTTTGATAATAATTATATATAATATATATATTTCATCTGTAAAAAATGCCTTCATAAAGCTAAAGATACCCCTAAAAATGAAGTGAATGTTCACTAAAAGTGAATTTCTAGGCATCGTAATCACGACAGACCGGCCCCAAGAACGGGGCCTTCGGCGGCACAATAGCTTCTGTTGTTTTTCACTTGTTTGCGTCTCGTCGTGGTGTCCTGTGTGTCCTCCAAAGTTACGTCAGCAGAGTTAGTTTCCCACCGTGCCGCTGGCTGGATTCTCGCTCTGTTGACATTGTTGTGTCCTGTAGCCCACTTCCTTTGTGATTAAATGTCTGCGAGTGTGTGTGTGTTTGTGAATATGTTTCTTGCTTTTTATCTCTGCGCTGCTTT